CCCCCTCGACTGCTCTGACCCCTATCCAGCCCCCGCCCCTGACAGACCCCGGGACTCCCATGCCCCATCCAACCCCCCCTGTTCCCTGACTGCCCCCTCCAGAGACCCCCTGCCCCTAACCATCTCGCCCGGGATCCCACCCCTATCCAACCCACCCTGCTTTCTGTCCTCTTCCTGCCCCCTCTGTCCTCTTCCTGCCCCCACCCCTTATCCAACCCCCCCGGACCCCTTACCATGAGGTTCCTAGCAGCATGTTCTGCTCCGCGCAGAGCCAGACATGCTGCCCCGCCCCTCAGAGTGCTGCGCGCGCGGCGGCATGGCTCCAGGGGAGGGGAGAAGGCAAGGGTGGGGCCGGTGGCTTGCTGCACTCAGCCAGGCGCTCCGGCCCGGGAGCGCGGACCCCGCGGCTTGCCGCGCCGGAAGAGTGGGGCCATTTGCCCACCCCTGCATCAGGGTGTGCCTGGGCACACCTGTGCGCACGCCTATGCGTCTGCCCTCTGCCCCCGTGGGTAGGGGGGAGGGAGAAGAGCGGGCCGGGCCGGGCAGGATTTTTAATGGCATGATGCTCCGGCAGGCAGCAGCGTGCCATTAAAAATTGGCTCTTGTGCCGTCTATGGCACGCGTGCCATAGGTTGCCAACCCCTGTTATAGACTGATATCATGTCTCTACTTAGCCAGCCGGTACATATTTTACTCTCTCTAATCTTTCCTCACAAGGAAACCACTCTAGTCTCCCTCATTATTCTTTCACTTTGTCAATATCTTTCTGGTAATGTGGTGGCCATAACTGAACATGATATTCTCTGTGCAGCTGCATCAGATCATCAGAAAAGAGAGCATAACGTTCTGCTCCATGACGTGGTGCCTCTGCTTACCCAGCCCAGCTTGCTCTGGCTATTTTTGGAGCTGCATACTGTTGCAAAGTCATGTCTAATTTCCTGTCTGTGATCAGCACTAGGTCTCTGTCACCATTGCTGCTTCCCAGATTTTTCTTTCCCACCCTGGCGACACACGTTGGATGAATCTGCATTCAGCAACTTGAGTGTCCTTTTGTTAAACTTTCCTGCCCATTTGTTTTTCATTTTGAAGGAGGAGATTCAAAAAGGGAGTTGAGTATCTCCGTCATTTTTGAGTTATCATGATGATCTTTGGCTCTGTTTTTTATGAGTTAATCTGTTCCTACTGCTGCTTCTTCATTTGAATATATAGGGCTAAATCATCCCTAGTGTGATGCCTTTTAAAGTCAATGGCAAAACACCAGGGATGGATTTGCCCCATGATGTTGTGTTTGTGATGTTACAGTTGGTTGCTCTGGAAACGATTACACTGTGTCACAAATAAAAAAAAAATGTCTTCATGTATGGAGCATGAAGCAGGAACATCTGAGTTCTTAAAAACAAAAAGCAAAGGTTATTTTTCATGCAAATGTTTTCAACTATAAAACACGGGAAAGGAGGGGGGCAAACGTATTTGCTGTTTAACACTGCTTTCTCTGCTCCCTGGCAATGGGAGTTTTGCTATATCCCAAAAGTAAGTCTCTTGTAAAACAAACAAAAAACAAGAACAAAAACATAGTTCATATAAATAGTTTAAACACATTTTGTGTTTTTTTTTTCAAGTGTAAAAGCCCAAATGAAACCATAAAGCCATGTGAGGTGCATCAGAGCAAGTTCCCCTATGCCAAAAGGGAATGCTCAATTTTGTACAGTGATGTTTTTGCCCCTTGTCGAAATGTGGTAAGTTTATACTTTATTAACTATTCAAAGATGAACATATTGATTCTGAATCTCTGGTAGCAAAATATTCAAGAGTCAGTAATTAATTCCTTGTTACAGTACAACTGAAAGCCATTGACTCAGCCCCCAGTGCTGCAAGGATTTCTGTGTGGGTGAACTCCTGTGCTTGTACAGAGCTCCTTGCAAGATTGGAGCCAAAGTCTGGATCATAAAACTATAGAACAGTTGGTGGGATTTTCAGTATTATTAGATGTCATGGACATGACCCTCTTTCAGATAACGGAAAGTTTTGGGTTACCAGTTTGGAAAATCAAGTTTCTACTGTATTAGTGTATTTGTACATGATACGTACCTACAAATTTCTATGTTGTTAACTAAGTTTAAGATTATTCATATGCATCATGGGATTCTGAAAATTTGATAACCACAAGCATTAAATGCACATGATATGAGAAGTTGGAGACACATGTATAGCTTTTATCTCAGGTGGCTGTCTTCTGTCATTTGTCCTGCTCAATCTGTATATGAGGATGCTGGGGGAGAGAGTGAGAAGATTTCGACGTCAGAGCCATGATAACGTAATTGACTGGCAACTAACCTTTTTATCAAATGTGTGGTGTCTTGGCTTTGCTGGTACCCGGCTAATAGGGGCTTGGATTACAGCAACTTGTCTAAGGCTCAATACAGACAAGGTGGAGATGATGCAGATAGCTTGAGGAAAGTGTGACAAGGGAAGTCTCTGATCCCATTAATAAGGGTTTGCTGAGCCTTTATCAAATAGTTTGTAATCTGCATGTTTGTCTGGATTTCTGATTGTATCTGCCTATTCAGGTGCCTTCAGTTACCAAAAGGGCCTTTTTACAGCTAGTTCGTGCTGCTGCAGTTTACTGCTGTTGGTAGCCAAACTAGATAGATTAAAGCTAGCTTGAGTATGTCTACACATGCAGGTATGCTGGAACAATTTGTCTAGCGGGGGTACTGAGATCCATTGAACCAAACTGTAAATCCTGTAAATGATGGAAACCACTTCAAGCCAAAGGGGTGTGCCCCGAGTTCCAACACCTATGTACACATGCTGCAATTACCCCCCTTAATTGCAGTGTAGGCATTGGTGCTTGCCACAGTTGTTCTTTATGACTTCTAGACATAACGAATGGTATCTCCAGATGGCCTATCAGAAACTGAATCTCTTGACTTTCAGGGCATGGTGAAAGGACTACCAATTTGGTCAGAAATTTGCCTGATGGAGCAGTTACAGTGTTATACATAGTTAAACTATGGAGTGAGTAGATTTACTCATATTGACATTAGCCAATATTTTAGGAATTTTTTGAGCATCAGCCTGTGATGAATATATTCTCAAAATATAAAATAGAAATGAAATCCTCAGAAGGTAAACTTTTTTCTCTAAAAACAAACAAAAACTTAAGAATTCTGTTTTTTGTTGTGCACTCACTTTTCTCTATTTTACCAGTGTTTGGGATCATTTTCAAACAATGGCACTTAAATTGCATTGGCAAAATTATGTTCACGAGAATTCACCTCACATGCAAAACATGAAGTTGCATATCCAATTGCGTATTTGCATATGTACACATACCTTTGGTGTGCAACACATTTTGCAGGTGCAAGTACATTCCAGGTGTATATACCACTTAGACCTCATTGTTTGAAAATTTGGCTCATGGTGTCTTCATAGCTTTCAGTAAAGCAGCCATTCTGAGTTATTGATTGTGATACAATTTCTGTAGACCTAAAATGTGTTACCAATGATTGATTTAAAACTACTAAACTAAGCTCCTCACTGTTTAATATTTCCAGCTTTTAGAATTGCAGTAAGAATTTTTATGATGATTTAAGGTTGCCTCAGCCTGACAAAGGGTTATTTTATAATTCAAGTTGCAAAAATAATGCAGTAGTTTCTTTCTTTTTAAGTTTTAGAGTTCTGAACGGCATGGGGAAGCAAATGGATGTGTGGGCTAATGCAAATCTGGGGAGATATAAGACAAATGAGAGAGAAAATCTTGAAAACACAGAAATATTTTATTTTTGTTTAAATGACAACAGCTCCAGAAATGCAGTCACTTTTTCTCAGACATTCTATTTCTTGCCAGAGAACTATACTGATTTTTTTTTAAAGTAAAGTAAATCGATTTGTAAAATTGCTCATCAAGCGCTTCCTTTCACGTTGTTAATGTAAAACTACAGATGTTACACTAGATGGCAGTATTTACCTTATAAGAATAGAAAATCACGAACTTTGGCTACATGTTGTAACCATTGTAAATGTTCATAATCACTAAATAGCAAGAGTGTTGGCAGGCGTACCACATGAACTTTATGATATACACTTTTAGTTTTCTAGACAAGCAACATTGTTTGGGCAACTTGAAAGTTGTTCAGTGTTCTTCATCAAGACTTGAACACACTATTGGGGGCCTGCAGCTGTACAGTACTGCTATTGTTGAGAAGCACACTGTGTGCAATGGCAGACCTCCCTATGAAGACAATGACGTTACTGTATGTGCGTGATTGTGCACAGGGGATGGGGGGATGCTACTGCAAGATCAGTCAGTGCTAGCCTGTGCGGACAAATCTAGTTATACCTATGTTAAAAGATAAAGTAATTTACCCAGGCATTAGAAAATGTTCAGATTTCTATGACAGACTTTGAGGGTTGAATTCTGCTGTCTTTCTAAACACAGAATTCAATTTGAAATTGGTGGGAGTTTTGGTGCAAAGTGATGGCAAGGTGGGGCCCACATGTTCAATTGCTTTTTTTCCCCTTCACTTTTCAGATTGATGTGACTTCATTTGTCAAAAATTGCCATACAGACACATGTAATTGTAATCTTGGTGGGGACTGTGAGTGTTTGTGTACAAGCATTGCAGCTTATGCTTACAAATGCTGTCAGCAGGGTGCAGCAATTCATTGGAGATCTCCCTCTGTCTGTCGTAAGTACATGATTGATCACGTCCCCAGAAACCACAATAAAGAAACACCGGATTATCTGACCTTTTAATGATTGATTTCTGTTGACACATAAGGAAAAAGAAAAGATAAAAGTTCTCATTGACAATACAAATGATCTGAAGTGGGATAGGAGAAGCTATAATATATATGTACTTCTGCTCTAAATTTTTCATGCAGTCCATGCATTAACAAATTAGTCATTTAGAACTGGATTTACATCCCTCTATAAGGAAACGGGCTATGATCACAATATTTTTGTATAGGTCCATCAATGGCTATTAGCCAGGATGGGCAGGGATGTGTTCCTAGCCTCTGTTTGCCAGGTGCTGGGAATAGGTGACAGGCAGGGCCGGATAAACTTTCCTGTGGGCCCGGGGCTATTAGATTTTGTGAGGCCCCCATATACAAGTCTTTTTTCTAATTTAAAACAAAATGATCACAATTATGGCATTGAGGCTATTAACACTATACTAAACTTACCTTTTAATTAACATAAAGCCATTTTGTGGTTACATTTGAGTTTTAAAACTGTAGACTATAGTTAAGTTAATTCAAAATAGCCTATTTCTTACCTTAGAACAGCTGTTACATTGGTTTCTTTTTGGGAGGGAGTTTGGGTGCAGGAGGGGGCTCCAGGTTGGGGCAGAGTGTTGGGGTGCAGGAGAGGGTGAGGGGTGTGGGCTCTGGGAGGGAGTTTGGTGCAGGAGGGGATTCTGACCTGGGGCAGGGGTTGGGGTGCAGGAGGAGGTGTGGAGACTGGGAAGGAGTTTGGGTGCAGGAGGGGATTCTGACCTGGGGCGGGGGTTGGGGTGCAGGAGGGAATGCGAGGTTCAGGCTCTGGCCAGGAGGCGCTTACCACAGGCGGTTCCTCGCTGAATGTGCAGTAGGGCTCAGGCAGGTTGCCTGCCTGCATGCCGCGGCCCACGCCACTCCCAGAAGAGTCCGGCTGCTGGCACGTCTCTCACGTGTCTCCGTGCGCTGCCCCCACCCGCAGGTGCTGCCCCCACAGCTCCCATTGGCTGGGAACCAGCCAAAGGGAGCTGCGGGAACAGTGCTGGGGGCGGGGGCAGGGTGCGGAGACACATGAGAGACGTGCCAGCAGCCGGCTGCTTCTGGGAGCGGTGTGGGGCCACGACATGCAGGAAGCCTGCCTGAACCTTGCTGTGCCGCTGGACTTGTAGTGGCCTGGAGATTGCGATCGACTTCGCAGAGGCTCCAGGATCAACCAGTGATCTTGATCGACTTGTTGGTGATCACTGAATTGTATATAATTATGGATTTATTTTTGCGGGGCCCCCCAAAGCCCAAGGCCCTGGGCTGTAGCCCCTAAAGCCCCTGCATTAATCCAGCCCTGGTGACAGTGGATGGATCACTTGATGATTATCTGTTCTGTTCATTCCCTCTGGGACACCTGGTATTGGCCACTGTCGGAAGACAGGATACTGGGCTAAATGGACCTTTGGTCTGACCCAGTATGGCCGTTCTTATGTATACCTTTGTCCTTAAAGTAGCCTCCATATTAGAGTATGCTACTTTCAAACTCTCATTGTGAGTTTGCCATCAGATATGACATATTTTACATCTAACTTCACTATGAAAAAAGTGTTCTTCAATGGATGATTCAGTAATGGATATTTGGTGCTTCAAAACAGCAGTGCTGACACTTCCAATTGAACACAGATGTGTGTCTAGTAATGATATCCTATGGAAATAGATCCACTAATTGAAACACATTAAGGAAAACAAAACTTTCTTAGATCAAAGTGAATTACCATGCTGTGACTTTGATTTACAGTGACTCAGGGTTGTTAACAAATATGAATTTTATTGATGGCATTTAATGATGTATCTATTTTGTTCTCTTTCAGCTTATAATTGTGAATATTACAACCAAGGTACGTAGTATTTATGTAAAGAAAAATATTTCTCTATTGGATGCATCCTCATCTCTCAAAATAGCTTTATGAGCATTTTTATCATTATAATCCACACTGTTTCTTGCCATACCATATGACCCTCTATATGCTAGAAGGAACCATATTTTGAAACAATAGTTTAAATATGGTTACCCTCTCAATTAGTTTTGTGCAGGATTTAGCTGCTGCTATGGCCAGGGCTTGGGCATGATTTTTGAAAACAAATTTTAAAAACGTTTTTCAGACCTTGCTTTCTCTAGTATAGCCAAGATCTATATGTATGTAGGAGGCCAAATCCTTCCCAAATCAGTATGGCTTGATATTTCTCTGGTTAGTGGAAGTTAATGGTTTTTCAATATTTCTGTTCCATGAATGTGTAAGATGTCTTGAACTATGCACCAGCAGCTCAGCTAATTAGCAAACTGACACCTGCGGGACTTCCAAGGGTACTGAGACAATGGTTACATGGATACAGGCCTCACAGTGATTAGCTAAACCACTTGTGTCTATCATCTGGGATGTAACTTGAGACATCCTGCTGTAAAAACACAGCCCTCTACCATAGCAAAGAAAAATCTCTGTTAACTGTAGTGGTCCTAGAGGTTGTCTCGTTTCTGGGCCTCTAGGCCCTGCAGTTGGATTGCATAGTAACAAACTCTTGAGTACATTAGACATTCTCAACCATTAGAAGGCAGCAGTGACATATGTTAGCCAGAAATATTGCATGTCCTTTTCAATATTTGCCCTTCCATGCTAATATCATGATGTAATTGTACTAGGGTGACCAGATAGCAAGTGTGAAAAATCAAAACGGTGGTGGGGGGTAATAGGTGCCTATGTAAGAAAAAGCTCCAAAAATCGGGACTGTCCCTATAAAATCGGGACATCTGGTCCCCTAAATTGTACTGCTCTCTTGTAATCTGATCCATTATTCCGAGGCAGGCTTTTTCCCTGTCTCACCAGCCTAGACTAGAGGCAGACTGTAACATTTCACTGGAAACAAGCATCTGTGTATGTGTGTGCATGCGCCTTTGCCTTGTGTACTTGCCATGGTCTTTTAATCAGAAAAGTGTGGGTCAGGCTGAGTTCAAAGTAGCTTTGGCCTATATAATATTTGCAAGGGCTCACACCAGATTTATAAATGAACCTAAAAATCTTCCCCTCCTCTACACCTTACTCCATTACGAAAGATATCTAACAATATTTTTTCTCTACATGTCCCTTCTATTTCATGGGACTTCTCTCATATGAAAGCCATGAAAGCTTTTTTGACAAGCATATTAGTTAGTCTCTAAGGTGCCACAAGGACTCCTCATTGTTTTTGCATACTATTCAAGGGATTCAAACTACTGACACATTAGTGTACAAGCTGTGTGTTTGATGTTGTTATATATACTTATTACCATTTTAACCTTCTCCGCAGTGAACTGCCTTTGTAGACAGTGAAATTATAATTGTGTTTCTTACAAAATGAAAAGTATCACTATATATTGCATCTCTAATGTTACTGTATTAAAATGAATCTAAAAAGTTAATTGATTCAGTGTGAATTATAGCAAAACTGGAGATCTGAGCTTGTTATAGGCTTTCTGAATAGTTCTCACTCTTAGTAATTATTTCCTCATTATAAAAGTTTTTGTACATGGGTGCATCCAGACAGGAATTGCTCTGACTCACTGAGAGGTTCTACTAAATCCCCTGCTTGCACTATGTTAGCTTGGTTTATGTCCTGTTTATTTTATTGCTAGTGTTTCTGCTGGGTGATATTCTGTGATCTACGTGATGCTGGATGATAATATTGTTCCCTTCTGGTTTACAAATCTAATAGCCCTGATCCTGCAAGTTGCAATGCGTAGGTGGACTGCTGCACCCATGCAGAGCCATGTTAACATCAGTGGGGCTCTGTTAGTGCATTGTAAAATGCAAGATTGGGGCTTATCAGTTTACTTCATATTAATATTAATAGGATAACAGATATTTTCTGTGAAAATATCATAGTCTTGGTACTTTCAAGAATGGCTCCTTAAAATGACAGAAATATTCATAACAAACTTCACCTTCATGACTTCATTTCTTAGAACTGCATGGCATGCTTCTTGGATCCTGGAACCAAGACATTACACAAACATTGAAATCTTGGCTAGATCCAGTGGTAGCATTGCATAATGGTGTGTCATTACCCAGAATACCATCTGGACTGTAGAACAGCAGTGTCACCTCAACTCTCCAACTGGGGATGCCTTTTACACTGCTTCACTGTGAGAGCAACCACTCTTGGTCTGCTCACACACAGCCTCCAGCATGTAAATTACTCCCAGTTATACTGTATGAGTGCTATAGCCAGCCACTCTGCAGAACAACACCAGCAAATTCCCAGTCCCGGATTTCCCCACCGAAATGTGCGTCTTGTACTGCCCAGCCTTCTCTTGGACAACACAAGCTCATATGAAGTCCGTCATTTTATTACTAGAAAATGATATGCACAAATCCTGTTATCTCCAATGGAGTTTCCCAAACACACTGGTCTAGGTAAAATAATAAAACAGGTTTATTAACTACACAAAGATAGATTTTCAGTGTTTAGAGGTAATGAAACATAAAAGTCAGAATTGGTTACAAGAAAACAAAACTAACAAAAGAAAAAGTAAACAAAAGAAAACAGTGACTCACTGAGGGGAGTGGGCAGCTCACGCTTGTTTTGGCAGCAGGACCCAGCTGGGGTCCATCCCCCTGGCAGCTTCTCTGGTTTGACATGCGACTGCCACTCCCCACACAGAGCCCATCCATCGCCTGTGTCAGAACCTTCTTCTTACCTGACCAGGGGAAAGGGATATGCAGTAGGGAAGGGGGTTAGTGGGAGTTGTAGTGCCTCCTTAGCAGATCCATCACACTAGATTATGGCTAGAGCCCTTGTGTTCTTCACAAACATGAAATAACACAAAAAATAAAATGAAAAATAACATATAAAACAAGAACACTAACCTGGCTGCAGCTGCTCCTATCCCATGGGTAGGGCCCTACCAAATTCACAGCTGTGAAAAATGCATCACGGATCGTGATATCTGGTCTTTTGTGTACTTTTACCCTATACTATAAGGTAAAAGTATACAAAATACACAGCTTTTCTCAAACTGGGGGTCCCAACCCAAAAGGGGATCACAAGGCTATTGTAGGAGGGTCATAATATTGCCACCCTTTCTTTTGTGTTGCTGCCAGCAGCACTTCTTTCAGAGCTGGGCACCTGGCTAGCAGCCACTGCTCTCTGGCCACCCAGCTCCGAAGGCAGTGCAGAAGTAAGGCTTGCAATACCATGACCCTCCTACAATAGCCTTGTGACCCCCTTTTTGGGTCAGGACCCCCAGTTTGAGAAAGTCTGGGGGTCTTAAGGGCTTTACATGTTTATATTTTGCCATTTTAAAATACATATTCATGGTTGTTACAACACCATGAAATTTAAGATTTAAATATCTGAAACCATGAAATTCAAGATTTAAAAAAATGCTATGACCGTGAAATTTACAAAAATGGACCGTGAATTTGGTAGGGCCCTACCCATGGGGATGGGCCTGGTTCCTTGCTCCTGCAAACTGATGCACACAATCTCAGAACAGCTCAGGTTTGGCCTGGCTGCCCTTCCCTTCTGATGGAGGGAGGTGCACAGGCAGGCCAAGTTTGAGTGAGTGATGCTGTGACCTGTTACTACTTTTTGGCCTGAGTGGCTAGCCAAAAATTCAGGGTCTTGCAGGCTGTTCCAGTTATGAGGAGAAATTGATGATGCAGTCTGGTACCTTTGAGGCAATCTTGTTTGTTTGCAAAAAATGTAGAAAGTCCTGTTTCCCTGAACACAGGAGGAACCAAAACAAAAGATCATTTCTTTCCTTACAGCCCAAACCTGCTAGCCAGCACCAAAACCAGATGCCATCTTTGTAGACTTCTCTCAGTGTCATACACCAGACTTGTCCAGGCTGTGTCTGGTTTACTTCCTTTTGATCTCTCTGTTTTTTGTCTGGTCTCTTTTCGAGTCTGTTCCTGTGTGGAGGGTGGTGATTATGCCCAGCAGCGTCAATTACATTTTGTGTAACCCACAGCAATAGTAAGAAGTGAAACCTTGTAAAAAAAAATTATACATATTTGTGAACCTTTCCACCAGAGCAACATCAGCGTCAAATGTTTGCCTCATCAGTGTTCTTGTAGTTGACAGCTGTAGGTCAACAACTTGGAACTTCATGTCTACTTCCCTCTGGCGTTACTGGATAGATGCAGAGATCAAATTCAATGCCCATTGGGGAATAGTGGTATTACAATTCTTTCAATATTTTATTCCATATTTCATCATCTGTGTGTAAATATGACACCTTCAGTTTACCACCAAGAGTGGGGATATGTAGAGGAGGAAATTTCATGAAGAACAAACCTGGGTTACTTATTAGTGAGGGTAGTTATCGAATATATCCATACTTGTCTTTCTTGCATCTCACTTGTTTAGAGTGTTTGTATTCTGGACAGGAAGTGAACTGGGGCGAGGGAATGTTGTACCTCTTGCATAAGGTATGTCTACACTGCAGCTGGGAACATGCTTCCAAGATCAAGTAGACAGACACATGCTAGCTCTGCTGAAAACAGTGGTGTTGCTGGGAGTAGCACATAGCACAGGCTAGCTGTCTGAGTACAAACCCATCCAGTCCCCAGGTACATACATGGCCAGCTAGCTCAAGCTGCCACTTGTGCTACGCCCAACTATGCTGCTATTTTTAGTGTGCAAACTATATCTATTTACTTGAACTGTGAATGTAGCTGCAATGTAGACATGCTGGTCTTAGATGCTGTCTTAGCCCGACATTACATTGAGGCACATGGTCCCATTCTAAGTGAACTGCTTTTAATGGTTCCTGGGTTTTCTTATCTTTTGTGAACAATTCCAAGTGTGGGAAAATAATTGATGGCAATATATGTCACCAATCATTGGTGGTAAGTAACTGAGGTTTTGCTTTTTTATATAAGTAATCAATAGATTTTTCCATTTGATTTTGTTTGTTTCACTAGGCCTTGGAGAAGGACCATATATTTTGGCAAGTTATGGACAGAATGATACTGTTATAGGCGCTAACATTACCAGCAGAAAGCTATTTCCTTTGCCTAGAATCAGTACATATGAAAATGTGGGATTTAGTTTTATGATAACTCCCGGCCTTTTCAAAGATAAAGACTTATGTAAGTATACTCAATATTACAGTAATGACAAAGACTAGTTTTAGAACTATATATGTATCAGTTACTCTGTTACTTATTTCTAAGTTTATTAGTTGTCTAAAGTATGCTACAATGATTTTTTTTTTCAGTTTGTCCTTCATGGAATGGAATAGCCAGTTGGAAAACTGATTTTTCCTTACAGTTTCAAGAAGAAATATAGTGCATTTAAAATACACATTTGGAAAAATTAACTTAAGGCTTTAATGCTAAATTTCGCAAGAATATATTTTAGAAATGCAGCAAGGTCCAAATGACAGTTTTTGTAAGGGAAATTTAAGTATCTTGTGCAACTAGAAATAGAAATGGTTTGCATGGGTAAATAAGAAACATTAGATATTACAAATGTTTACCAAAAGTGTTTGTGTCCCCAGTAATAAACCAACCACCTATGCTACGCTTATTAATATATATATCTTCTTCCTATTTCTGTTTGTTCACACTGTGTAAATAATTTTTAACGCTTTCTCTTTCATTCAAACATTGATCTATGTAACCAAAAATGTTAATATATAAAAATATTTTTCCTTCTTTCAATCCCTTATATATCCTGCACCAGTGAATTCAATGGGAGATTTGCCATTGACATCAGTGGATGCAGGGCTCCTATCTATCACAGTTTGTGAAACCAGTATCTCCAAAGGGGCCGTCTCTGTCCTGAGATTTCAAATCATGTTTGTCAAGGCTGCTTCCCCACTCTGAACTTTAGGGTACAAATGTGTTTCCCTGCATGAAACTTCTAAGCTTAACTACCAGCTTAGATCTGGTCCACTGCCACCACTCCCAAAATGCTAATTCCCTTCCCTGGGTAGCCTTGGGAGACTCTTCACCAATTCCCTGGTGAATACAGATCCAAACCCCTTGGATCTTAGAACAAGGAGAAATTAACCATCCCCCCTCCTTTCTCCCACCAACTCCTGGTGGATCCAGATCCAACCCCCTTGGATCTAAAAACAAGGAAAAATCAATCAGGTATTAAGAAAAAGGCTTTTAATTAAAGAAAAGAAAGGTAAAAGAAAACCCTCTGGGAGAGATTAGCATACCAGCTACTCTCACAGACAACAGATTTCAAACACAGAGGATGTTCCCCTGGGCAAACCCTTAGTTACACAAAAAAAATACCCAAAATACCCAATTTGACTATTCCTCTAATTGCACAAGACAGGTTACAAAGAAATAAACATAAACCTATTTATTTCCTTCACTAATACTCACTACTTAATAAGAGGCTGAATTCTGGAGCTTTCCCACTCCAGTCCAAACTGAAACTTAACAGACAAAGGGAACTTTCCTCCTTCCCTTTGAACCATCTGGTCCTCTCATTGGTTCCTCTGGTCAGGTGTCAGCTAGGCTAGGTGAACGTCTTAACCCTTCACAGGTAAAAGAGGCATTAACCCTTAACTGTCTGTTTATGACAATGTTTAAGAGAAATTGAGATATATTGGCAAGGAAGAAAATAAGCTTTTTGGATGACATTTGAAAATAAGTGGAAAGGTGATGAAGTAGAAGGATGAATGAAGTCTAATGAAATTCTCCAGCAGATATAATATAGTACAGGTAAAATGTTGAGGTGACTGAAAGCTGAATTAAATCCATGTAATATATGAACATTTTTCAAATTACTGGTTTCAGAGTAGCAGCCGTGTTAGTCTGTATCCGCAAAAAGAGCAGGAGTACTTGTGGCACCTTAGAGACTAACAAATTTATTAGAGCATAAGCTTTCGTGGGCTACTGCCCACTTCTTCGGATGCATATATGCATTTGTTAGTCTCTAAGGTGCCACAAGTACTCCTGTTCTTTTTTCAAATTCCTGTTCGGGATGAGATAGTATTTGGATGAAGTATAGAAGCAACATATTTTTACCCATGTTATTTGAACCAAGTCTTTTTTGAGCTTCTCAAATGTTCAGAGAAGTGATTTCTTCACTTTTGATCTGTCCAGGACCAGAACAAGAAGTGATTAAATACAACTTTCCTGATGGCACTTCTGGCTGTGACTGGATGTCTCAGGAGAGAAGACTGTTCTCACAAAATGTGTACCCTGATTTTGCAGCCAAAAGAAGTTTGGACAAACTATGCTTACATAACTAGAGCTGGTGGGAAATTTTCTGGTAAAACTAAGAAAATGCCAATTTGGTAGAGTGAAGGGTTTAGCTGAATATAGCACAGATTTGATGAAACCTGTGTCAAAACGCAGCAGAGCACTGGGACTGTCTGTCTCTCTGCCTCTCCCTAGCTCCAGGGATGGGCAGCACCTCTCAGGCTCCCAGACTTGGTAGCTCGGTGGAGGGAGGCAGAGTGACTGGGCTCTCAGACTTTCTGGCAGCTGGCTAGAAGGCTCTTGTCCTGGAGGGCAGAAAAATCCTGTTTAGGTTTTTCCAAAATAAATTTTTTCTTGAAATCCCATTTTGTGAAAACTTGCCTGTTTTTTAATGTCTCATCTCACTTTGGGACAACACTTTTTCTCAAAAAGGAATTTCACTTTTTCAGTCAGCTCTATATGTAGCTGAATTTTCAGATTTTTATCTGAAGTGAATTATGGGTCAGCATTGCTATTTTCTACAGAAAAATGGGAGAATTTTTGTGAAGAGCACTAGTTTTGACATAAACTACTCAATAGCTAATGTAGTCCATAGCCTCTGGTTCTCTGGTGTGATAGCCTACTCCTGATTGCTTTGTATTTTGTTTGTGACAGCTCTGTCTCTTGTTTCCCTTGAGTCTGCTGAAAGACCAAACTATTTCCTGTATGTCCATGACAATGAAACTGTTACTTTGGAACAGTGGGCAGCAAGTTCTTCATTTCGTAGAAGAGCTACATTTTTCCACCACCAAGGCCTCTGGATTCCAGATTATAGCGCGTTTGAACTTCACAACAAGAAAGGCTTTTTCATTATATTGACAGCTTCTGGCATTAAAGTGTCAAAGTATGATGATTCAGAAGAATTCAAACGTACAAGTAGCTTTAGCATTGAAGGTAAGTTGTACACGATCCCAAAGAATACTGTACAATTCTGTTCTAGTTGTCTTAAGAGGGGTACACATGAGTGCATCATCTTCATCAATAGTAGCAAATATTTGTACTCATTTCCCCTATTTGTTTTTGTGTTTATTCCCCTCTGTGTCCAGATGTTACTGATTTCCTATTTTTCAGGTCATGAATATTGCCTTGACAGCATAACTCTCAGTCAAATTTGTAATTATTTTTTATAGGGCTATTGATTAATCGCAGTTAACTCATGATTAACTAAAAAAAATTAATCACGATTAAAAAAATTAATCACAATTAATCCCACTGATAAACAATAGAATCCCATTTGAAATGTATTAAATATTTGTGGATGTTTTTTTACATTTTTTCAAATATATTGACTTCAGTTATAACACAGAATACAAAGTGTTTAGTGCTCCCTTTATATTATTATTTTTATTACAAATATTTTCACTGTAAAATGATAAACAAAAGAAATAATATTTTTCAGTTCACCTTGTACAAGTACTGTAGTGCAATCTCTTTATCGTGAAAGTGCAATTTACAAATGTTGATTTTTTTTTTGTTACATAACTGCACTCAAAAACAAAACAATGTAAAACTTTAGAGCCTACAAGTCCACTCAGTCCCACTTCTTGTTCAGCCAACCGCTAAGACAAACAAGTTTGTTTACATTTACAGCAGATAACACTGCCCACTTCTTATTTACTGATAGGTAAGGTCCCATGGGAATCAAGACTGAGGGGAAAAACGACTGAGGAGAGTTGGCAGTTTTTCAAAGGGACATTATTAAGGGCTCAAAAGCAAGCTATTCCGCTGGGTAGGAAAGATAGAAAGTGTGGCAAAAGACCACCTTGGCTTAACCACGAGATCTTGCATGATCTAAAAAATAAAAAGAAGTCATATAAAAAATGGAAACTAGGACAAATTACAAAGGATGAATATAGGCAAACAGCACAGGAATGCAGGGGCAAGATTAGAAAGACAAAGGCACAAAATGAGCTCAAACTAGCTACAGGAATAAAGGGAAACAAGAAGACTTTTTATCAATACATTAGAAGCAAGAGGAAGTCCAAAGACAGGGTAGGCCCACTGGTCAGTGAGGAGGGAGAAACAGTAACAGGAAACTTGGAAATGGCAGAGATGCTTAGTGACTTCTTTGTTTTGGTCTTCACCGAGAAGTCTGAAGGAATGCCTAACATAGTGAATGCTAATGGGAAAGGGGGTAGGTTTAGAAGAGAAAATAAAAAAAGAACAAGTTAAAAATCTCTTAGAAAAGTTAGATGCCCACAAGTCACCAAGGCCTGATGAAATGCATCCTAGAATACTCAAGGAGCTAACAGAGGAGGTATCTGAGCCTGTAGCTATTATCTTTGGAAAATCCTGGGAGACAGGAGAGATTCCAGAAGACTGGAAAAGGACAAACATAGTGCCCATCTACAAAAAGGGAAATGAAAACAACCCAGGAAACTACAGACCAGTTAGTTTAACTTCCGTGCCAGGGAAGATAATGGAGCAAGTAATTAAGGAAATCATCTGCAAACACTTGGAAGGTGGTAAGGTGATAGGGAATAGCCAGCATGGATTTGTAAAGAATAAATCATGTCAAATTCATCTGATAGCTTTCTTTGATAGGATAATGAGTCTTGTGGATAAGGGAGAAGCTGTGGAGGTGGTATACCTAGACTTTAGTAAGGCATTTAATACGGTCTCGCATGATATTCTTATCAATAAACTAGATGGGCTGTGAC